ATATTTTCAATTATTCGCTCAAACTGGTTTTTGATGCTAATAGCCAGTGATGCATCCAAATTTAGAAATAACATGCGCAATGAGAAATTGAGGCCTATATGCAAGTTCTTTGAAAAACCTATGAGTATGAAAATATGGCGTGCTTTTTTGTGATCTAGGTCTCCAGCGGAGACCTACGGGAACCTCAAGTCAGGATTAGCAGGCACTTTTTTCATCCTCTTAACCTTATTTTTTGTATCAAAAGTATTTAAAAACGCCTTAACCCAACTTATAGTGCAGTAATCAGAGCATTTTATACCTTCCGTGCGAGGACCTCAAATCGTTTTACCTTCAGGAAGGGAAACGCGCTCAAAGCAAGCGTGCGCCTAATTTGCTGAATTTTCAAGCGGGTCTTCATTCTCTGAAGTTCTAAGTGGAAACCTGTGCCGAGGCCTGGGCACGCCTGATAATCGCTTTACAAAGAAGTATGGTACAGATTAAGAATTACATTATGAGCGCTTGTGATAATCCTAATCCTACAATATCAACAGTGTTCAATAGCATTTGACAAATCAACCTTTTTCCAAAATACATACAATTTAGACGACCTACAGTGAATCAAAGAGAAAAGAAAGCAATTTTTGTCAAGGAGCCTATTGGCGTCGGCTATTGATAGTGGGGAAATGAGATCGATGAAAGCTTTTTCACACTTCTCTTAGGAGCATATCAACTTCTCTCATTAAATCGCCAATGGTTCCACTAAAAATTTGTTTTCCTACAGAAGCAGTGGAGTATAACCACTAGAAATTGCTATGAACTTCACAAGTCCCAATATCTTGTGACTGTTACTAGTTTCTAGAGTGTATGCTTATTAGCTTCTGTTTATCTTTTCTCCTCATCGGAAAGCTATCTTAAAATTACCAGTCCAATGCAACATATGCTTTCAATGCTGCAGCGAGAAAGGATTTGTTTGAGATATGATCGTACACAAGTGGAGAATGATAAATACGCAAAACAATTTGCATCTGATATATGAGTATTTGGGGACTTACATGAAAATGATGAAATTACTCAAGCGCCACGTTTAACCCGATTGCCAGATTTTTATTTTGCAGTAATGTATACGGTAGCAGACTTTCATCATACCGCTTTGGAGTAGAAGAAATTAAAAATGGAAGTGCAACTCCACTTCACGACTATAGGCTACTTCATCTTGTTTTTCCCACGGAATTTACATTGTTTTACAAAAAGACTTTTGGAAAAAAAACACACCCATCCTCCAGTTGCTTATCATCCACGAACCATGTCACCTTTGGGGATGGTTCTCCGCAAACGACACATTTCAATCGAATATTCTCCTCATAGGTTTCCATATCCTTTAGTGGTAGGATGAAAAATGGGCTCAGTACACTTTCAGTCGCATCTTCTCCGGAAGTTGATCTTATGAGACGACATTCAGTTACAGTTTGTCCATAAGTATTTGAAGCAGCGCAGGCTATTCTGAGCTCTTCACAAGTTATATCACGAATTTGAAGAATTGCAATTCCATCTTCGTAGATGACATGATGGTTTCTGTAAATCCCATATGTAAACATATGAGGAGTTTTCTGAAAAACAACTTACATATCCTCAATTATGCGCTCGCCGTTGATAGTCCACTCCACTTCAGCAGCAGGTGTAGCTGTTACAATACATTTAACATTACATTTGTCCCCTTTGAAAGAGCCATTCTTAAGAGGTAAGACGAAGCGAGGAGCTTCACCGGTATATGATATCGACAGTGATTGAAAATCTTCTTCTGCTTCTTCTTTTATCGCCTTCTCATAAAGAGAGGTGGTTGTCAGATTCACTTGTAATCGTGGGTAAGAATTCAGTACTGCTTGAATGTCCGCACTTTCGCTTTCTCGGTCACAGATGACTTTAGTTCCAACAAACTTGTGGACAAGAACATCATCTAAATTTTTTTTTCGAAAAACCTCCTCACATAAGAACTTGGAACATTGCTAGGTTTCCAAAGTCTACCTTCTACAATCACTTTGCATTCTGCTGTTCTCATCCCAAAACTATTCGCAATTGTGCAAGAGAATGTGGCATTATCCTCAAGAGTCGTACATTCCAGTCTTAGCATTGTTATCCCATCTTCTGTTATGATCGTGTAATTTCTAAAAAAAA